TGCTTATATCAACTCACTCTGTCTGTCTGTTAAAAAGTTTGTACACGTTATGTTATTTCTCCCATACCCAATCTCGGATAATGCTGAAATTCTGCACAATTATTTCTTTTACCTGACAACACAAGAATAAAAAAAAAAAGTAAGAAAATTAAACAATTAGTTAACTAAGTATTGATAATTAATTATTTTGTTAGGTATCTCAAAAAGGGAAATAATTTGTACTTGACTGAAGTGGTAGCATAAGCTGAATTAGTCCTCTTTTTAGGTCATAGGCTCACCACTAGCAGAGTGGTTACCATGTTGGCTTGAGAATTCAGGTTGTTTCCCCTTTTTTTAAATTTTCATGAATGCTATTTTATTGTTAGTCTAGATCTATTACAAATTTAATTATAGAGTTGTCCAAACTAATTGATACAGCTATGCTTAATTTGAGGTTTGTTTTTAAAAAAGTGTTTTAAAAAATATTTCCTTTTTTTTAAAGGGGGGGGGGGGGTAAAAGATGAAAAAATGTTGTCTATAATTAGTAAATTCATATTGTCCTATTTCCGCTGAACATGGCAGTCTTCTTTACTGATTATGTATGTATGTTGGGGTAAACTTTGATGTAAATCTTGTATAAAATTAAGACACTAAATGGATTTCTAGAAAATATTTTCTTTTGTTTTAATGCTACAAAGTTTAAGATGATTACTTTTAAAAAAAAATTCATGGAAAGTGAAAGTGTAGTGATACAAAGATGCTTGGTTACATTTAAAAATTGTGTTTGTTTCACTTTTCAAATATATTGTTGTTGTCCCAATTAATTCACACCAACTCATATTGGTCTGGTTTCTGACAAAATTACATAAACAGAAACAAAAACAGCTCCCTAAAGTGTGTATTAGAAATGATTGGCTTGAAAATATCAAGGTCATCCAGACTTATCTTTGAGATATCAAGACTTAAAATGAATAATTAAGAATAATTATGAATGACAGCAAATTTTTTTAATAGAAATTCTGGAAAAGTAAAAAGACAAGCATATAAAGACAAGCATATAAAATGCAAAATAATACAAGCTCGGTCAGTCAGTACATTTCAGCAGAAAACCATTTACAAAATTCACAATTATAAAGCATAAAATTAAAATGGCAGTACAAGAAGACAATAATGCAAGAGTAAATATCTTAGGAAATACACAGAAATAAATTCAAGATTCATGATCTTGCAATGGAAAGACTTAACATGCTTGTGGAATTGGGAAGTGTTCTGGTTGGGTACCACATGACCCCTGAGTGGTAGAATTGTATTCAGATAACTTTCTTATTCTAAAAAAAAAAGAAAGTGCAATTACTTACTGAGTACCTTCTCTACTGTTTTTAGTACTAATTGTCACAAACTGCCTCTAGAGGTTGTGAAGGTATTTGTCTAAGAGGTTGGATCGCTGGTGAGCAACTCCAAGACCTAGTTCAATCTTTTGACCACAGGAGCACTCTTCAAGAAGACTATCTTATGTATAGTTAATACAACACTTTATTAAACTATGTTACTTATTTACAAATAATATCAATGGGGATCATCAGATCAATTCAAACAAAAACCGTTCAGTACATAGTTCAACATGGACTCTATTTTAGATAAAGGGAAACCTTCCTTCTTTAACAACTCTCGACTAACTCTCTCAGAGCCCTGTCTCAAATTAGTGCCCAGACACCAACTCTCACTAACTCTCTCAGAGCCGTGTCTCAAATTAGTGCCCAGTCACCAACTCTCACTAACTCTCTGAGCTCAATCACCGGCTATATTACTTAGATCGCTGGTGATCTATACACCCCATATACCCCCACACACATTCACATGGACCTGTTGACCAGAGTCTTACCCCCGTGAAAGCCATTGTCTGGTAGAGTTAGTCTATAAATTTAGCTCTACCACGAATACAAACAAACATGGTTTGTAACACTAATATGTTATGTTTTTGTTGACCTTACCTGAACTAACTAAAACTAAAATGGACCATGTTTTCAAAATACTTATCAGGCTGGAGTGTTTTGTGTGGTCTTCTACCTACGTCTTAACTTCTGCTACAAGCACCCTCCACCCATATCTGTTGAAACAGTCAGGAATAACCCCTATGGCATTAAAGTCTTAAGGAAGGTGATTGACACTTGCGCCTTTGGCATGTACAAACATTGGGTCAAGCGAGTTGATAATCAGAACAGAGCAGCCCTCTTTGAACATACCTTGCGGGAGGACTGGAAGCATAGCCTTATGACCCTGGATGGAGTGGTAGCTTGACCTCTGCAGAGTGCTAGCCTTTCTTTACTTAAGTAGGAGATTAAATATCAGTTAAGATCAGGTACCTTTAGGGATAATTTATTAATTACCAAAGTGTGTGATAGCTGCGTTGTTAGTAACCTTTATTTTGTTTTAACTTTGAGTATGTTTATACATTTTTTTTATCATAGTTATATTCATTTTATTTGTTGCTTTTAAATTTATGAAAAAAACAACAACAAAAAGCATTTTTCAGTTCCAATTTGACTTACCTGGCAGTATTAAAGTAAACTCTTGTTAGAGAAAAAAAAATAGCTTGGCTAATGCCTTGAGAATAAAATACCGCTTAAAGTTAAAGAAACACCACAAAACAATTATGAATGAGTTTGTTAAAAGCAAGTTATACTGTACATGTTATTTATTGTTTGCCATTTCCCCACCCTACAGACTACAAATGTTCCTATTGCTGTGATGATAATGTTGATTTAAATGATGTCTTTTTAAAATAATGTTCTAAATGTGTGTGAAGTGTAAGCAAAATATTTTGGATGTCCTGGAATGCTTTTTTTTTTTTAAACATTGAAGATAATTGGTTTCAACAGATTTGTGTTCATGTTTGTGTATGCTGTAAGTTGAAGTATGAGTTTGCTATTCAACCTGCTTAGTTGTCACTCTTAAAGGTTCTTCTAGCTGCCTTGAAGTGGGCAAGAAGTAGACAGCTGCTGCTGGTTACAATCTTAGCCTATTTGATCTCTGTGTGTTAGCTATTATTTATGGGTACTAGAAAGTAACAGGTGTTAATCTATGATGGACATTGGTCATTGAAAGAAAACAAATGTGGCCCTAACCCTTGTTATGCGGGCCAAGTGGCGCAGTTGATTGTGGAGAACTGAATGCAGCACTACAATTGAAAATACTTACAACAAAACAACCCAAGAAGGAAGACAATCATTTCTTTGGAAAAAAAAAGATTTTATTCTTGCCTGCCTATTTTTTTTTCAGATTTACCTTCTCTTTCATTATTAAAACTTGTAAAACTAAATCTATCTTTAGCAGGAAAAAAATGTTTTATTGATATTTTTTCCCCCACTTTTGCAGAAAGTCTGTAATTGTATTTTTTTCCCCCTCACTTAATTTCTGTTATCTCTATGTATTTTTTTTACATATCTTTATAAATAAAGTAATAAATAATGCAACAATTATTTGGGATTTTCAAACTAAACAATGTCAAGGTCACTAAATTAAACTTCAATGTTGCCAACAAATTTAAATTTAAAAAAAAAAAGGAAGAGGTTAAAAAATTTAATTTTGCTTTGCTAAGAAGTGCGCACAAATTATCATTAATCAATCAAAAAACATAACTTATCATCACTCCCCCTTTTCTGTACACCAGACCAGACGCACCAAAAAAGCTAGCTATTAATAGTTTTTCCACTACAAATTTTTTTTTCTTCCTTTTTTTTTAGGTTAAAATTGTTGAATTGTTTTATATATCAGCAGTAGCATTCATTTTTTAAAAATTTAAACTTGTCAACTAAAGGGTATTGTGCTTTTATAGATTGTTTCATTTGAATCAAAAGAGTTGTGGATACTGTATTCATTAGTCATCTGTTTATTTAGGATAAAAACAAAGTGTCTTTATGTTGATTATTGTGGTCAGCTTAATCACAAAAGTTGTTCTTTGGCTGGCATGGCATGTCTCTAATGATATACATTAGTCGGTTGTTTCAATATTCTATTTTTTTGTTTTTGTGATGTCCTAATGTATGAATGAGGTATTGTCTTGGTGGGACAATGTGCCTTTGTTCATTTGTGGGCTACACAATCATTCATGGGACGTCAATAACCTTGATGCTGTTTTAGTAGGGCTTTGATTAGGGCATTGTTTTCAGCCATGTGATTAGTTGTCCAGTGTAGCCATGCTGCTAGTTTGTATTTTAGTGCAAATTATACTTAGATATATTAGGTAATTTAAAAAGAAAAGTTGAGATCAGATTCTATGGCTAGGGCTCAAATCACTTTCACCTTGCTTATTAAATAATGAAAATATTATTCTACCATTAATATAACACACAGTGAATGGGTTATTTTCACTCTCAAATCACAAAATGGTCTAAGTGGCATTAGCTGAAACATATATTCTTTCTGAGATAACAAAGTGTTCATTGACTTGTATATAAACATAAAAAGCATATTGAACATGAGTGCACTCCAGTAGTTCGGTTGTCTGCTTAGGGGAAGTCAGTGAAATCTTTTGCGGTTTCTGGCTTTGAAAGGCTTATTTCATTCTCTTCAAGGCTTTCTTTATTTCCAGCATTCTCCATCTGGTACTCACTTGGTTGTGCATTCTTCTATAGAACTTCTAATAAAATTTTAATTAATTAATTATAGCACAGCATACTTAATGTTTTCCAAAGACTTTTCAACAATTGTAAGACAAACTGTTGATCCCGAGCTGTGACATCTGAAGTCCCAGTTTTTACAATGTTTTATGTATTGTCTTTGCTACCTTGACATTCAGCATACCCGGTACCATTTGTTTGTTTAGACGAATCATCAGGGTACTAGACTTGTCTCTCTTTAAATCTATCTTGGCTTCCATGATGGGACTATATTTCAATAATGTGTTGAACAAACTTTGAATGTATCTGAAATAGGATTGAATTTTGTTTTATTCCATACTAGATGTCACACTACTTAAGATGTTGTGTGTGTGCACCTGTTGTAAATAGTGATGTAAATATGCTGTAAGAACTGCAGAGATGTGATATAGTAGATGTTAACTGTGTTCTTATTCAGTATGTAGAAAAAAAAGAAAACTGCACCTTAAGTCTTGTTGTCTGCTATGCACATATTAAAATCATCTTTTTTTTCTAGAGTTAGAAATTGTCATGTCAAATCATGGCGTTTGGGCTGACAATTCTTTCTTTGCAGGGGGAATGGATGAATAATTTTCTTCCATACTTGTTCGTTATTTTCTAGGATTCTGTTCCTGTCTAGCTATTAAAATAAAAGAGGCTAGAGAAATATTCACTTATGCAGAATCTTAACAAAACTATTATTCTGTGTTTCCTGACCTAAATGTTATGAACTAGTTGAGAACTTTTTGTCATGCAGTGGTTAACTTCAGAACTTTGAACTTTAGAAAAATATTATTTGGACTTGTAAATTACATATAACTTTATTGAAGTAATGTTTTAAAAAATTATGTCATCAGAATTTGGTAGAAGTTCCATTGTAAGTCAGTTGTATTTTGACAATCTGTACAAAGATGAACTATTTATGGTACTAACACTAAAGTACTAACTCCATTTTGCAACCGGTGGCTGCTTGTCAAATGTAAAAAGTAATTTATGCAAAAGTTGACATTTTATCTGTCCAGTATTTATTTTGTTTTGATCCCCGCACAAACACAACAGTATCATTGAGATAAAAATAGTTCATTTTGTTTTTAGAATCAACCATTTTGTTTTAAACCATCCATATAAATATTTTTTTTTAAATGAAACTTTTATCTGATATTGTATCAGCTGTATATACAATCATGTGACCCAAAGGAGTAGTAGTTATTTTTTTGAGATTTGCATGCATCCATTAAAAAAAAAATATTCATTTAACCATGTTAAGTTTACAAAAGATTTTTTGTTTTTTTAGTGGCCATCACAATTGAAGTGAGATAAATAAATATTCTATAAATAAAAGCCATTTGTTGTTATTCTTGTTTGTACACAAATTTGTTCAAGACTTATCTAAACCTTATATTTCCACCATGCTCTGGCAACAATCCAAAAAATAGAAAAGTGATGTGACATGTCCCAAGTGCAGAGTCTGCCAAAAAATAGAAAAGTGATTTGAGTGATGGGACATGTCCCAAGTGCAGAGTCTGAGTGTACACAAGATGCCCTGGCTGCTTTCTCCCTGTTGGAGGCTGTTAGGCCTAATCAAGCACAGTGCAGGATAGGCAACTGTCCTGTTGGCTCATATTTTGCATGACAATGCCTAATTTCAACTCATGGTGCTCCTGCAGGGGAAAAAGAGGAAAGTGTGTCTCATTCTTTTTGACTGCTCCAGATTTGATTTCCCTCTCTTCATGTCTGGGAAGCCACAAATTCTCAACCTGTATGGTGACATGCAAAACAGGGTTTCTGTTCAGGGCTTTTGCAAGAGAGAATTTGAACATCTTAAGCCTGCACTCAAAGGGTACTTCTGCACTGAACACAACATTGGTCTTTTTTTGATATTCTCACTTCTTACTAAAAGAAAAAGGCATTGAAGCCAGGAGAAAGAATTTCTGAAGGTCAAAAATGCTTGGTACCCCCCACAGCGCTCCAAAGACCCTCTCTTTCTGAATCGACGGGAAACCTACTGCATTTTCAATTCTATCACCAGGAACAACGTTTACAAAACACACAATATGGACAGCTAAAGTGAACATTAATTATGCAAATTTGGACTTCTAAGCATGGCGTTAATATTAATGGCAGTCTTCAATTCCGAAGATTAACGATATTGTGCAGTGTTTCACGACTATGCAAACCCAATTGAGACTTGTCTGAGTTGATCTCTATAGATCTTACAAAGCACCTGTTACACTGTCCTCCTCTAAGTTTGTCAAAGAAGATTGCCTTTGGCATGTGGTCGTCTCCGACGCGGGATAAGTTGTTTATATTAATGTAAAACAATAAGGGGAAATTATGTTATATTTACAGGTTCCGTATGTAATTTTTCTTTTTCCAACCTTAGAACCTCCCAGACCCACTTTGGGAGCCTATAGCACTCCTCCAGGTCCCCAGCTGTTAAGAGTTAAGTGATCAAAATTTTTTTGTCATCTAGGGTCACCACCAATTAAAGGTTGTGAAAAACTGACCCAACCTTTTCAAAACTTGTTAATGCAAAATTTCAAAACCCATCATTATTACACACTTTTCTACAAAAATACATGTAGTAACGAGCATCAGAAAAAAATAAAGGCTCAATTAGTGACATTTTTTATTTCTTATGAATTCTTCCTCATTACGATGGTACTCTGGTTTCTGCAAGGGAGAACCAATGTCACTCCTAATAGTTTGAATGGCAGCTAATGGAAATGAATGAACTGCTAGATCATTAAATACATCTCTCAGTATAAAACTGTCTGGCAAGCTAGTTTCTTTGACAAATGGCTGAATCTGAAATACAGATATACATAATATTATTTAAAAGTTAATAAATATATAATAATAAGGCTTTTCTGTTGAAATATTACTATTATTATTCATGTTATAATTATGTTCAATGGTACTTATAGCAGCTTTTGGGTGGAATGATTCATATTATGTTATCTATTTTATATATTAAAGCTTGGTTCCTGCTGAAGTATGCCTTGACTTAGTATCTTAGTTACTACTGTGCTGTTCAATAAAAGTAATCTGAACTCCAAGTGAGAACCCTGTCACGTCATTACACTCCAGAGCAATAAACATTCTAGAACTACAGTCACAACATGCAAAATATCATGTGACAAAACTTACTTTTAATATATAGTTTCCTGTTTCTCTAAGCAGACTCTTTGGTGTTCTGAAAAATGGAAGAAATTAAAATCCCTATTAAAAAGTTACTGTGATAAGTTGATATGTACATTATTATTTGATTCCTTTGTTTGATAAAGTGTGAAATATTTCTGTTATACAGAAACGGGTCTTAATAAATTTGTATAAAGTTAAAAATATATATGTGCTAAGCAATGACTTTCATAGCTATGGACATGTACACTTTTTTTTATAAATACTATTTCAATTTAATAAATTAAGTTACTTTTAATATATAAACATCTATGTCTGTTAAAATAAAAAAATTCTTACCTTTCAACAATCTGTGAGAAACTGTTACCAATAAGAACAACATTGTTTAACCCCTGACCCTCAGAAGGGCTCAAATTTTTCCAGAGAAAATTATTGTAAAGAGGTCTGCCACAGTGTGGCATGAAGGCTATAGTTGGTTCAGCACACTCTCTGCATCCTTCCTTAAAAAAAACAAAACAATATGTTTGTTAGTACAAATGTTACTGGAGATTTTTAAAAAAATGTGCAGGTCATTCAGGTAAAATCATAGTTTGTTTTTGTTTCTGAGGATTGTTGTATAAAACTATACAATGATTAATTACAATCTTTAAAAATTCATTATCGGTCAGAAAGGAGGCCTATCCATTAGAGCAGGGGTGGGCAAATTAAGGCCTGCCGGAGTTTTTTATGCAGCCCGCAGACACCTACAGAAATCTGGTGTGCTTACAGATTATACATATAAAAGTGCAAATATATTAAAATAAATAATTGTAAATATCTACAGAAATTACTGATACTTCTGATTCTTATCACTTATGATGAAGAGGCTAAAGAAACATGACATTCTAAAAAGTTTTAAATAAACGAAGATTGCTCTTATTGGCAATATTTCAAAACATTCAGGCCAAGACACAAACTCAAACCAGTATTTATTCAATGCTATTAAGAACTGTGTTGAAAATGTTGAATCGGCTTAGAACAAGATGGGCAGTGTAACAATTGATTGAGCCCATGCTTTGACTGAGAAAAACAGTTGTTTTTTTTATATATAAATTAATGAACAATATCCCAACAATAAACTCTAAACCTGGAAAGTTTGAACAAAGCTGCATTGAATATCATACATATTTTTTACCTTTTAGTATCAGTAATCAAACTTATCAGAGCTAGGGATCTTGACCACATGCACTTCTGAGAAGCACTTAAAGATTTGGAAACAAAACATTCTACTGCCTTAGCATGTGCAAGGCATTGAGAAGATATGGAAGCTCAAGGGAGGAAAGGACATTAACTGAGACTTTGTTAGTATAGTAATACTTCTAATGAACAGTGGAAGACAGAGTTTTTTATTTAAAATATTGCAAAGGGTTGTTTGCACATGAAATGTATGTGCATGTTAAATCTTTTCATTTCTCCAGGCAAGCAAGCGAAGACAGTTTTTATCATTTTTCATTGCTGATAGGTGAAACTATTTCTCATGAAATGGTTTAAAACTAGAAAACTTATTTTAGTTTCTTCATTGTGTAATTTGAAAGCAAATTTAAAGAGGTCAAGAACTTGGAACCAGTTTTCAATTCACTCAGTTCACCATTTAACGAAGAAATTGATTCAGCTCCAGAGCCAATTATGACCTGAAAGAGAAGTTCAAGTCAATTTTGTTTAATTCCAAGCAAGTTTTGTGGGTGCCAGAAGTTGCATTTCCACACTTTAAAAAAACTTCGCTTCTAAATTTTTACATTATTTTGGGTCCACGTACATCTGTTAACGTTTCTTTTTTTCTTGAAAATAAATAGTGTAATCACAAATCAATGCTGACTGCCAGTAATTTCACAGCAGTCACAAGGATAACAGATAGTAAGCTAGTTACGCAGTTCCTGAACATTGTGCACGTGTGTAAATAGTTAAATATTTCACATTAAGTACAGCTGTACATTGGTGGTGAATTGTTGTGATACAAAATGATGATAAAATTGTAGAAATTATTCTTAAAATGACTTTCAGAAATTGCTAACTTTTGTTATTCCTCAATTGGGAGTATAACAAAAATGAAAAGTAAGTGTAAAATACAGTACCAGTGTAAATTTGAATTAAAAGACATTATACACAGCTATGTAGCATATTTTTATAATTTGTGATTAATATATATATATATATATATGTATATGTATATATACATGCGGCCCTCCATGCCTAAAAGATTTTTTAATGCAGCCCTTAATGGAAAAAGGTTGCCCACCCCTGCATTAGAGTTTATTGTTTTTTAAGACCAGCAAATCAGAAATAGAAATTTTTTTGTAGACAAAACAAGAGAAACAACACAGTAGTAACATATTTTTTTCTTTATTTTTAAAATCTAATAATAATAACTTTTAATCCATTAGAAGGAAAAAAACTAACTCAATGGTAACAATTACCAAATTTTTAAATTTGTTTTTAAATAGTGGGCCACAGTAATTATTCCTGAGTTATTCAAGGACACTAATAGCTAATTTGAAAGAAAAATTAAAGATCTGCCAACACTAATATTATTCTGCAGGCAAACATAAAAGAAATAAGAGTGTATAATGGGCTGGAAAATTGCTCACTATAGCAGTAGAAGGTAAAAACAACACAAAAGATTAAACTAAATACCAGAGTTATAAGAGTTTCTCAATATATTTGTAAAAACCTGTCATTTTACCTCATTCTGACTTATAAGTTGACAACTGTATTTCTCTAAAATAATTTTTTCATCAGGTGAAAACACAGGGTCGTAGACTAAACATGTTTGGTAGTGCTCCTGTCAAACAAAATGAACAAAATAATTGTTTACAATTAAAAAAACAACAACAAAGTAACATAGGTGAAATATAACAATAACGACTAAAAACATATTCCACTAGAATAGAGATATACCAAAGCCTCTGACTAATATTAAGTATAATTTACTATGACAAGGTATTGTATCTGAATCTAAGATTAAGGATGAATGCAGTTATTTCACATGACCACACTAACCCAGTTGGAACCTGTATATTTTGCCACTACTAATGCACTCTAAAATCACCCTTCAAGGTACAGTTGAGGGAGCATGAATAAAGAGTCCTCCAAAGAAAAGCTGGCTGGACAATGTAAAAAGAATTGACCAGCCTCTCTCCTAATGTCTTACTAATAGTAAGAAC